GCTGCTGCTGCTGCTGCTGCTGCTGCTTCTGCTGCTGCTGCTGCTGCTGCTAGCTCTGCAGCAGCCAGTAATCCCCGAAAGCGGCAGAAGCAAAATCTTCCTGAGTCGGCTGCCAATGAGGAGCAGCAGGAAGAGCTGCAGCAGCAGCAGCAGCTGCTGCTGCAGCGGAAGGAAGAGCAGCAGCTGCATCAGCAGTTGCAACATCATGAAGAGCAGGATATCAAAGAGCAGCAGCAGCAACAGCAGGAGCAGCAGCAGCAGCAGCAAGCTTATTCTTGCCTTGCGAGAGAGAGCGGAATAGAAGCATTCGCCACCCCAGTTTCTCCTGCTGCTTCTGCTTCTGCTGCTGCTGCTGCTGCTGCTGCTGCTGCTTCGCATGAGGTAGCAGTTGTGGGGTTTAGAGGGGCTGTGAAGACACTCTTTGAAGACTTTCAGGTGTACGAAGACCCCATCTTGCAAATACCGCAGCAGCAGCAAGCATCAGCAGCAGCAGCTGCAGCAAGAGGCGAAAGCAGCATCACCAGCACGAACAACAACAGCAGCAACTTCAACAGCTCTATTAGCAGCAGCAACAGTACAACCAGCACCAGCAGCAGCAGCAGCAGCAGCAAATGCTGCACCCCAGGCCAGCCCTTACGACTAACTTCCTTGTTGAGTGTGCAGCAGCTAATGCTAAGGCGGCAGCAGCAGCAGCAGCTTCTACGAGGGGACGGCGTCATAAGCCGCACATATTCGCTTCCAGTACTCCTGCAAGGCACTGCAAACACATCCGCAGCAGCAGCAGCTGCTGCTGCTGCTGCTGCTGCTGCACCAGCAGCAGCAGGAGCGGAAGCAGCAACAGCAGCAGCAGAAGCAGAACCGGAAGCAACTGCAGCAGCAGCAGCAGCACTAAGCCTTGCAGATCGCATTAATGTACAGAGCTTCGTCAGAGCCCTTTCAGTATATTGTCCTCCTATACGAAAGAAAACAGCAGCAACAGCAACAGCAACAGCAGCAACAGCAACAGCAACAGCAGAGTCGCAAGATGCTGAAGATCAGCATAAACAAAACCAGCATGTTGCAGATGAGGCAGCAGCAGCAGCAGCAGCAGCAGCAAAACATCTAATGGAGGCCCTTGAGGGCCCCGCAAGTGCAGTAGGAGGAGCTGATCTGCCTGGCCTTGCAGCAGCAGCTGCAGCAGCAACTGCAGCAGCAGCAGCAGCAGCAGGTCCTGGAGGCAGCAACAAGGCACCAGCTGCCTCGCTAACGAACCCTCTAACAGAAATGGAAGAGGGCCCTTCTGCAGAAAGCAGCAGCAGCAGCAACAGCAGCAGCAGCAGCAGCAGCAGCAATCCTCAGGAGTCCTCTGCTAATACTACAGCAGCAGCAACAGCAGCAGCAACAGCAGCAGCACAAGACTTCACGCTGCCAGAACTGTGGTTGCTCGGCAATACTGCAGCAACAATTGAAGCAGCAGCTGCTGCAGCTGCTGCAGCCATTGCAGCGCTTCCCGCTGCTCCTGCTGCAGCTGCTTCAAGCGACAGCAGCAATGTGAGGCCCGAGGTCAGTGCTATCATCTGCTCTCATTTGCCTGTCTCTGCCTGCAGCAGCAGCAGCAACAACAACAACAACAACAACAGCAACAACAGCAGCGGCGGCAGTAGCAGCAGCAGCAGCAGCAGCAGCATGTGGAGTGTGCGTACAGCAGGCGTGGAGGCACTGTACAAGCAGCAGCGCATGCGCTCGCATGCATCGGTTCGGCTGCTGCTGCCGTTTGCTGTTTCTGCTGCAGCTCCTGCTACTGCTGCTGCTGCCTGCGGTGTCTTTGCTGCTGCTGACGCTCCCCCAACCAACCCTCATTTTGTGCAGCACGCTGCTGCTGCTGCCGCAGAGGTGCATGCAACCGATGCCGCTGCTCCTGCTGCTGCTGCTGTAGCAGAGCTTCCTTTTGTGTCTCTTGAAGCCAACTGGAAGCAGCAGCAGCAGTGTTTGCTGCAGCTACAGCAGCAGCAACAGCAGCGGCAACAGGAGCTAGAGCAGCAAGGCAATTTCGATGCTGCTGCCCTTGCAGCAGCAGCTGCTGCTGTTGCTGCAGCTGCTGCTGCTTCTCCTCCGCAGCAGCTGATCCGCCTTCTGCTGCAGCCTCAATCTCTGATATATCTCTTTAAGAGACACGGTGCCTCTGCCCATCAGCAGCAGCAGCAGGAGCAACAGCAGCAACAGCAGCAGCAGCAGCAGCAGGGAGCTTCTCATGGTGTAATGAGGCCCTTCCGCCGCAAGCGTTCACTGCAGCAGCGTTGCAGCCCTGAGGAAGCCAGCAGCAGCAGCAACAGCAACAGCAGCAACAGAAGCAACAGCAGCAGCAGCATTCTTGCTGCTGCAGCGCGAGCAGTAGAGAAGTGTTTGGGGGGCTCCCGAGGAGGCGGCGAGCCGCACACACCCCGTCCTCCGCAGCAGCTGCAGCAGCAGCAGCAGCAGCAGCCAGGAGGTCGTTACTGTTTGTTTTTGCTGCTGAAGCAGAACAGAGACACAGCAGCAGCACTCCACTGCTTGTCTCGCTGTCTGAGGAAGCCTGCTGCAGCATTTGCTGCAGCAGGAACGAAGGATAGAAGAGCAATCACTACCCAACTCATTTCTATTGAAAGGGTAAGATCGCAACCTGCAGCAGTAACTGCAGCAGCAACTGCAGCAGCAACTGCAGCAGCAACTGCTGTTGCTAGTAGGGCAACTGCTGGAGCTGTACAGCTTCAGCAAGTGCTGCAGGTGCTGCCTTTGCTGCTACTGTTGCTGCTGCTGCTTGTGCTGCTGCTGTTGCTGCTGCTGCGGCTGTTGCTGTTGCTGCTGCGGCTGTTGTTGCTGCTGCTGCTGTTGCAACAGTCTGCATTTTGCGTTTGTCTGCTGCATATCTGTATGTGGGTGTTTCTGGCTTGTGCATCGGTGCTGCTGCTGCTGCTGCTGTTGCTGTATTGCTGTTGCTGTGCAGGCGACGCAGCAGCAGGTTGAGGAGGCGGTGCTGCATGCATACTATGACAGCAACCTCTCGCTGCAGTTTGTTGGTTATGCTGAGGCCCCGCTGCACCTAGGCGAGCTTCAAGGAAATTTCTTTCAGGTTGTTGTACGCAATATTAGACCTATACTCAGCAGCAGCAGCAGCAGCAGCAGCAGCAGCAGCACTGCCAGCAATAACA